ACTTAGACGAATTAGGTGATACGTATGATAATGGTCTACATAACGAATAATGCATTACACGATATATTATTTTGTAAACTGCTTCTCCCATTCATATGCTTCTCCCATTATGATCTATTCATATGTCAAGATTAAATTGTGTCTCCTTGATCATCATGGATCTAGGGAAGATAGATTGAAACAATATATGACCTTCGACCCTGTGCAGTAACCAGTTACACATTTGACTCTAATTTACATCATGAAGAACACCTTTTGACGATTTTTATCTTATTCAAAGAAATGAAAATGTAATTGATAAATGATTATCATCATTATGATAATGATGATCATGATGATCATGATCATGATCATGAGCGCGATCATGACAGCTTATTGAAAAAATGAGGGTTGATTTAGATAGCATATAGTCTCAGCTACAACATACTAAAAAATCAACAAAATCCAAGCCGAAATAACGGCGATATTGCTCGCAAAAGACAGGAATGTAGACTCCAGATTTTAGAAAAAGTCATCTCCCATAGGGATTACACGCAAAAAGTAATGGATTAAGTGAAAATAGGGTAATAATAAAGTAAAAAGGGTTATTTATGACATTATTTGCGAATCTACGTGTTTAAATAATCAAAGGAGATGGTACAGTGAAGGTCAAAAGGAAAAAAAAGTGAGGAAAAAAAAGTGTTGGAGACACCCGGACTCGAACCAGGGATCTCGAGGTTGGAAGTCAAGTGCGTTACCGATATACCAAAACATCTCCCATAGCGATTACACGTAAACGGGAAATGGAATTCAGAAATCCTACTTTGCAAGTGAAATATGAGCTTGATCCTGGCATCTAATCGAAAAATAAAAGGCACACTTTTGATAGCTCATTGTCTCAGCTACAACATATCCAAAGCTCAGCGAAAACAAAGCTAAAACAACGGAGATTTTGCTCGCGAAAGACAGGAGTGTAGGATCCAGTTTTGAGAAAAAGTCATGTCCCATAGAGAATACACGCAAAATGCGAAAAATTGACATGCCTCCTTCAATCGCAAAAATACACCCTGATACTTTTGTCAAAAATAAAAATTGTGAATATTACATTTGTAGAAAATTGTCTCAGCTAGAACATATCAAAATTAAAAAGAAAATTGATCCACATTTACAGAGATACAATCAATTTTCCAAAAATATGCTGACGTCATAATATGCAAATTGAATTTTTGAGTTTGGAGGCCATTATGATGACGTCATGAGTTAATTGAGGATAAAATGAGACATGAAATCATATCTCCGACTCATAATCTATCCAAATATGAAAAAATATTAGGAGTTTCTATCTATTCTAAAGAGTTACAATGAATTTTATGTAGGCATGTTTTTGCCCATGTATTGTGGATAAAGATAACGTAAATCCGCGCGTGCTGTCAACTTTGACGGACGCTCGTTGCGTAAATAAAAGGTGAACAAATTATCAAAATGCTTGGAAAAATGTACCGAATATGATGACAGAAAAAAATCGGCGATTCTATGTTGCAAAATGCCAGTACGCGCGAAAACGCGCGCGCATGCGCGTGTGCGTAATTTTTTTATCAAATGCTCCATATGGCCTGAAACGTATGCAAAAAAAATTTGGGATGATTTAGAGCATTTTAAATTTTTGCGCGCGCGTAAACGCGCGGACGAACGCGCACGCGCGCATTTGCGCACTTTTATTGACCTCGACTTGACCGGACGGATATTTATCTTAATCGTGATAATTATGAATGAGAAATACTTTTCCGTCATGAAGATATGATCATTAGTTGATTTTCACAAAATGGCGCCTGGATGACGTCACGATAATTTTGACTCTCTAAAAAGTCATGCAGTTCTAAGTTAGACTAAGATCTATCATCATAGCAAGTTTCATGATAATGGCTTTATTCAGTCTTGAGATATCCTGCGAACAAATTCGAGGAAGAATAATAATAAATAAATAAATAAATAAATAAATAATAAAAATCTTGACGAAATCAAAAGGTGATACGTCTACGTACGTATCACCTAAATAAATAATAAAAATCTTGACGAAATCAAAAGGTGATACGTCTACGTACGTATCACCTAATAAATAATAATAAAAATCTTGACGAAATCAAAAGGTGATACGTCTACGTACGTATCACCTAACTAGACTTTAATTCGTCACTTAGACGAATTAGGTGATACGTATGATAATGGTTTACATAACGAATAATGCATTACACGTAATATTATTTTGCTTCTCCCATTCATATGCTTCTCCCATTATGATCTATTCATATGTCAAGATTAAATTGTGTCTCCTTGATCATCATGGATCTAGGGAAGATAGATTGAAACAATATATGACCTTTGACCCTGTGCAGTAACCAGTTACACATTTGACTCTAATTTACATCATGAAGAACACCTTTTGACGATTTTATCTTATTCAAAGAAATGAAAATGTAATTGATAAATGATTAGCATCATTATGATAATGATGATCGTGATGATCATGATCATGATTATGAGCGCGATCATGACATCTTATTGAAAAAATGAGGGTTGATTTAGATAGCATATAATCTCAGCTACAACATACTCAAAAATCAACAAAATCCAAGCCGAAATAACGGCGATATTGCTCGCAAAAGACAGGAATGTAGACTCCAGATTTGAGAAAAAGTCATTTCCCATAGGGATTACACGCAAAAAGTAATGGATTAAGTGAAAATAGGGTAATAATAAAGTAAAAAGGGGTATTTATGACATTATTTGCGAATCTACGTGTTTAAATAATCAAAGGAGATGGTACAGTGAAGGTCAAAAGGAAAAAAAAGTGAAAAAAAAAAAGTGTTGGAGACACCCGGACTCGAACCAGGGATCTCGAGGTTGGAAGTCAAGTGCGTTACCGATATACCAAAACATCTCCCATAGCGATTACACGTAAACAGGAAATGGAATTCAGAAATCCTACTTTGCAAGTGAAATATGAGCATGATCCCGGCATCTAATCGAAAAATAAAGGGCACACTTGTGATAGCTCATTGTCTCAGCTACAACATATCCAAAGCTAAGCGAAAACGAAGCTAAAACAATGGAGATTTTGCTCGCGAAAGACAGGAGTGTAGAATCCAGTTTTGAGAAAAAGTCATGTCCCATAGAGAATACACGCAAAATGCGAAAAATTGACATGCCTCCTTAAATCGCAAAAATACACCATGATACTTTTGTCAAAAATAAAAATTGTGAACATTACATTTGTAGAAAATTGTCTCAGCTAGAACATATCAAAATTAAAAAGAAAATTGATCCATATTTACAGAGATACAATCAATTTTCCAAAAATATGCTGACGTCATAATATGCAAATTAAAAATTTGAGTTTGGAGGCCATTATGATGACGTCATGAGTTAATTGAGGATCATATGAGACATGAAATCATATCTCCAACTCATAATCTATCCAAATATGACAAAATATTAGGAGTTTCTATCTATTCTAAAGAGTTACAATGAATTTTATATAGGCATGTTTTTGCCCATGTATTGTGGATAAAGATAACGCAAATCCGCGCGTGCTGTCAACTTTGACGGACGCTCATTGCGTTAATAAAAGGTGAACAAATTATCAAAATGCTTGGAAAAATGTACCGAATATGATGACAGAAAAAAATCGGCGATTCTATGTTGCAAAATGCCAGTACGCGCGAAAACTCGCGCGCATGCGCGTGTGCGTAATTTTTTTATCAAATGCTTTATATGGCCTGAAACGTATGCAAAAAAAATTTGGGATGATTTAGAGTATTTTTAATTTTTGCGCGCGCGTAAACGCGCGGACGAGCGCGGACGAGCGCGCACGCGCGCATTTACGCACGTTTATTGACCTCACCTTGACCGGACGGATATTGATCTTAATCATGATAAATATGAATGAAAAATTACTATTCGTTATAAAGATATGATCATTAGTTGATTTTCACAAAATGGCGCCTGGATGACGTCACGATGACTTTGAGTCTTTGAAAATTCACGCAGTTCTAAGTTAGACTAAGATCTATCATCATTGAAAGATTCATAACAATGGCTTCATTGAGTCTTGAGATATCCTGCGAACAAATTCGAGGAAGAATAATAATAAATAAATAAATAATAATAAAAATCTTGACGAAATCAAAAGGTGATACGTCTACGTACGTATCACCTAATAATAATAATAAAGAAAAATCTTGACGAAATCAAAAGGTGATACGTAGACTTCGTTACGTATCACCTAATAATAATAGTATTAGTAATATTGATAATGATAATAGTAATAATAGTTACAATGTTATATTGTTCTGGTAATTACTCTGGATACATAAACAAATATTGAATATAATGTAAATTCAAAGAAAATATCTATATAATGTGAATGTTAAAGTGCTATATGTTCATTCTCTCTATATACTCGTTGTATGTTGTATGTATCATGTTACATGTACATTTTATTTATTCTTCTATGTGAACAATGCATGTAAACGAAACGAATTTCCTTTTGGACCAATAAATTTGAATTGAATTGAATTGAATATATATATATATGTATGTGTCGGGTAGTGCGTGTGTATGTTTGCAAGTAACGCATATAAAAGAAAAAGTTGAATTCTAATTAAGATAAAAAATAGCTCTTGACATTTCTTGTTCCTTGTTCCTTGTTTCGAATCGGTAATACGTTAATGTAATCAAAGAAATAGTATCTCTTTGATGTAATGGAGTAGCGGACAACTCTTACATTTGTTCCAACACAAACAAATTACTCAAATATATATATTTTTTTTTAACGTATTAATCATGAAGGTCTTTTCCTTTTAGATGACCTATAATAATAGGCTATCCAAAATATATTTTAAATATATCCCAAAGCGTAAAAGCCACTGAAGAGAAAAACACAAATAAAATATATTGTGGACACGACGAACGGGAGAATTAGCTACGTCATACTGCATTTCTAATGTGAGATTCGCAGAGAATTAGTGATTTTTTTTTTTAACACGACCTTCATTGGGCGTGTTGCCATCCACCAAGCGCACCTGCAGTGTTCTAGGGGGTGCCTGAGTAGTGGCTGTTTATAAAACAAAAATTGTGAAGCTCTTTTGCATATTAAGACCCAAAACATATTTTTTTAAAGCACGGAACATGACTCAACAAAATTGTCATGAATAAGGACACAAAGGGTATTTGAGATGAATGTCAACTACTCGTTGTTTACCCAACAGAAGCATACAAACAAATGTCAAACTTGGACAATGCACAAACTGATATATACCATGTTCATGCGATCAAAAAGTTTAGAGTGTTTTTTTTTGGTTGCTATCTTTTAAACTGTTGTCAGTATAGGCATTCACTTTACTTTACTGACCTCAAGGCCTCTATACATAATATTATTACTACCACGGCTTTAGCCCTGCTGCCCTAAGGCTAAAGCGAATTGAAGGATAAACTCCTTCCAAGTACCTATTTACTACACCTGGGTGGAGTGTGGCAAATGTAGATTACTGTGTTACCGAACGACATTAGTGCCGCGGCGGGACTCGAACCACGAACCATGTGATACACATTTTGGTGATATATCCTCAATACCACAACAGTTTTGGTCAACATAGACTCTAATCTCGTGCAAACGAAACCTTTCTTGTATGGTTTTAAATCTACACTGTAAAAAAAAATCTCTGTAATTTTACAGCAAATCTGCTGGCAGCAGAGTCGCCATAAATTATGTTGTAAAAATACAGATTGGTTGTTATTTTCTCCTACAAACATTTCATGTATTTTCTTTTACAAATTGTATGTTGATTAAAATTACACCAGAATGAATGTAAAAACATAGTACAAAAATGTTTGTTAATTTGGTTTACAGCTGCTTTGGTGTGGAAGTACCTTTTTGTGTATTTGTATTTGAAGCAATTTTGTTTTATTTGTTTACACCACCATGTAATTTTACAGAATGAATGTAAAAATATAGTACAAAAACGTTGTATAAATACAAATGTTTGTTAATTTGGTTTACAGCTTTCCCTTCTTCCTTTTGAGTACAGACCTCTTTACAGAGTATTATCGTACTATACTGGGGGTGTGCAGGTGGACCACTTCACCGGGGTTTCCCCCTACTCTTATACGAATAGTGCAGTGGGTTCTTAACGTGCAAAGGTAGTGACTCTTCTCTACACGAGGCCTCCATTTAACGTCCTATCCGAGGGATGGAGTGTTTTCCACTTGACATAACCTGCGTCTATGAACAAGGGAAGGGGCACGTTAACACACAACGCAGGTTTCAGTCATCCGCTTGGGTGGGAGTCGAACCCGGGATCTTTGGTTCGACAGACGGACGCTTTACCGACTGAGCCAACTCGCCTCCCTTTGGTGTGGAAGTATCTTTTTGTGTATTTGTATTTGACCCAATTTTGTTTTATTTTTTTTACACCACCATGTAATTTTACAGCATGAATGTAGAAATATAGTACACATTCAAAGTCTCTGGGACTTCATTCATATGCAAATGAGCATCCTCCGCATCGTGTATAAGAAGCCCACTCAAAGCCACGTGCATCAGTATTCAAAGACAAAAGGCTCATTCAATCATGCAAAGAAGGGCGGGAAAAAGACAACAAAATCAATTGTATTAATAGTCACACTGACAGAACATTCAATCAGGGAGGGACATGATTCCTCATATTAGGCTTATACTTCGTAGAATATAAATTAAACTTCAATATTAAATTTCTTTTAAATCTCGTTTAATTTAATTATTCTACTTCGTAACGCCTAATTATTCGAAATCATGTCTGGGATTTTAAAGTTGGAAAACGGAATCTGTAAATATGCTACAGTATATGTGAAATATACTTTTATATTTTACATGTGTTTGCGAAACTTGGCTAACTGCATCAGACGATGCAGTGATTGCTGATCTTTGCCCTCGTGGTTATCTGTTCAAGCACCATCCCAGAGCTGCTAAACGTGGCGGCGGGGTCGGCTTTCTCTACAGGGACAGTCTCCACGTCGATATTAGTCCAACAGGCAAATTCGAAACATTTGAATCAATGTCTGGAACTGTATCTGGCGGCTCTACACAGGTTGACATTATAGTCATATACAGACCACCAGGATACCAGTCTTTCACTCAGTTTCTTATCGACTTCTCTGCGCTTCTTGATGAGAGGTTGTGCAAACCATACCCACTTTTGATCACCGGAGATTTAAACATCCATCTAGATAACACTTCATCCCAGCATACACTCAGGTTTGTGGACCTTATGGCCTATCCCAATTGGTTACATCTCCGACTCACGACAAAGGTCACATTCTGGACGTCGTTCTGGTGCGCAATTCAGACAATTTGTCAATTTCGAAGCCAAGTATCGTTCCAGGTATATCAGATCATGCTGCTATCACTTGTGTACTTCGCTTCACTAAGCCTGCACGCAGCGACAGAACATTTGCTTCCCGTAATATTAAAGACATAAACAGGATAGCCTTCGCGAAGGATGTTGCTGAGAGCGACATTATGCCCTTAACGTCAGAGAGTGTCAACACAGCTACTAGTCGCTTCAACACCATTCTTTCTTCGCTCCTCGATATTCATGCTCCTGCCAAGATCCGCAAGGTTCGAGACCGTCAGGACAATCCCTGGTACAACGGCGAGATTACTGCTGAGAAACGTAAACGTAGGCAGCTTGAGCGGAGATGGCGATCTAACGGCAAGCTTCACATTGACAAAGAGATGTTCCGTGCGCAACGAGATTTCACGAACTCTCTCGTCGAACGAGCCAAACGTTCGTACTTTGTCGGGCTAATCGATAAATGTGGACATGACTCTAAGAAACTCTTCTCTACGGCCAATCGTCTCTTGAATCGGAAACAGAACTCTCCACTTCCAAGACATTCTGATAGTAAAGAACTGGCTCAAAGATTTATTCAGTTCTTCCGCTCCAAGGTTCAGAAGATCCAGGACAGTCTCACTCCTGACTTAACTCCACCTGATCCTGTCACGTCAGCATCCCTCGAGACGATTCAACCTACCACCTCCGATGAGATACAATTACTGCTTCATAGATTGCCAGCTAAGTCGTGTAAACTAGACCCTGTCTATACTGTTCTCATTAAGGATTGCTCCTCTTCATTTGCATCTGTTATCTCACAGATTGTCAACTTAAGTATTGTTCAGGCATGCGTACCTTCTGTTCTTAAAACGGCACACATTCTTCCTTTACTGAAGAAACCCAATCTTGATTCTGAATTACTAAGTAATTACCGTCCAGTTTCTAATCTCCCGTTTTTATTTAAAAAACTTGAGAGGGTGGTGTTCTCTAGATTAAATGATTACTGTCTCGATAATGACCTCCTTGACCCATTTCAATCTGCATACCGTCCCCACCACAGTGTAGAAACCCTCCTTGTTAATGTATCCAACTTTATACTCCAGGAGATGGATGGCGGAAAAGTAACTGCTATGGTACTCCTTGATTTGTCTTCCGCCTTTGACACTGTTAACCACACTGTTCTGGTGAATACCCTCATGTCACTCGGTATTAAAGGTCAAGCCCTGGAATGGTTTAAATCATACCTGTCATGCCATTCTCAAGCTGTCTTGATAAACGGCTACCTTTCAGATTTTGTACCACTTACATGCGGAGTTCCACAAGGCTCTGTGGGCGGGCCCACGCTTTTTTCGTTATATTTAACGGGTTTGAAGAGTATTTTTCATCGCCATTCTCTCTCTTATCATGTTTATGCTGATGATATTCAAATATATACTTCTTTCAAACCCAATCAGAGCAATGCAGCCAGCGCTATCCATAACATTGAGACTTGTGTACAAGATGTTCATAATTGGTTAAACTCACATTCACTGAAATTAAATCTCGCCAAATGCGAATTTATAATGTATGGTTCTGAGACTCAGTTAGAGAAGATTTCTTCCATCACTTCAATTACTCTTGCTGGACATGAAATTACCCTATCTAATGTATGTCGCAACCTTGGTGTGTTTCTCGACTCAAACATGAAAATGTCTACTCAAATTCAATATGTCTCAAAATCCGTACGTTATCAGTTACGCAATTTGGGTTTTATTCGTAAATATCTTAACCGTGGTGCCACCGAGAAAATTACTCATGCTTTGATTTCTTCTCGCTTGGATTTTGGTAATGGCCTTTTGTTTAGTTCGCCTCACAACCTACTCGCAAAATTACAAAGATTACAGAATGCTGCTGCTCGTGTCGTGACCCTGTCCAACAAGTACAGTCACATCACACCAGTCCTCAAATCACTCCATTGGTTGCCCGTAGAAAAACGTGTTGTTTTCAAGATTATTTTGCTATTATTTCACTGTATACATGGCTCTGCTCCGCAGTATAACATCGGCTTGATTAAGCATTACTTTCCTTCTAGACAGCTACGTTCTCAAAACTCTGGCTTACTTGTTACTCCTAGGGTTAAAACAAAGTGGGGGGAACGAACCTTCGCTCATGCTGGGCCTTCGTTATGGAATACTCTCCCTCAATGGGTTAAGAATAGCAGTTCTGCTGAGGTGTTAAAAAACAATCTTAAGAAATATCTGTTTAATTTAGCTTATAATTGATTACCATTACCTTTCATGTCTGTACCTTTCCTATCGCACTTTGTATAAATGTATCATGTATGTATTTCATCTTTTGCACAAGCTGCGCCTTGAGCATTTGACTGTCAAGTGGATTTGGCGCCTTATAAATCATATGTATTATTATATGTATTATAAATAAGTTTCATGAAATGTAAAATGCTGTCCAATCAAAACGACATTATAAAAACAGAATTTTGTTAAAGAATCTAGTAACTGCATTCAATTAAATCACATCGAAGTAAAACTGCACCATATCCATTCAATTTAAGAAATCGTTGTACGAATACAGACATCTGTAAAAATACATTTAGGTAAACAATTTCATCTGTAAAATTACAGGCAAACTGTATTAGTAACTCTATTTTGCCCTAAAATTACAGGCAAACTGTATTAGTAACCCTATTTTGCCTTAAAATTACAAATTTCTGATGTAAGTAAGTCTCACAATAAAAATGAAGTATTTTTACGGGATAGATCTGTAAAATTACAGGCAAACTGTATTGGTACTCTTTTTTGCCTTAAAATTACAAATTTCTGATGTAAATCAGTCTCACAATAAAAATGAAGTACTTTTGCGGAATATATGTAAAAATACATCCGAATTGCTGTATTTAGTTAAAACGTTACAAATCTGTATTTTTTTCCTGTAAAAATACAGATATTTTTTACAGTGTATTATTATACATGGATTGATATATGAATAGTTATTTACCAAAATCAAACAAACAGTACACACGTGATTTGGGAACACCTGATAGAAATGAATTTAAAATTATCACAGAACTTGCATACAAAAAATTACCTAAACCATTGCACTCATACGGAATGGAAAAGGCTTGAAAATTCCCCATGTGATGACTGGTTGGAAGAAAGGGGTTGGGGCGGTACCCTTTAAATTCAAATTTTTCGGGTAGGTGTCTAGTAAGGGTAACTCTAACCGTAGAAGTGTCGTGGTATAAATGGATATGTCACCGTGCTGAAGATAAGCTGGTTCGTGGTTATAGTTGCACTTCGGCACCGACGTCTTTTGGCTAGACATTAATCAACATTTTCCACTCTCCACCCAGGTTATGTAAAAGGGTACCAGGTAGGAAGAAATTCCTAAAATGCCAGAAAGCTTTATCAGGGTAGCTCGGCTAATACTAAGGTAAGAGTACAGCGCTTAGATATATTATTATTAAACGCTATATCAATGCTATTACTGTTATTAATATCGTCATCATTACTATAATCGTTTTCATTATCATTATTATCATTAATATCACCACTGCTGATTAATTTGTACTAATTGCTTATTAGAAGCTATGCAAATAAAACTAATCTTCTCTTTTGGTTTGTTTGTTAATTTTGTTCTGTTTGTTTTTCTTAACTGGGTTTTCTAATTGCTGTTAGGGACGGTATAGTCTGAATGTTTCTGAGTTTTTTCAAACATGTCTTTTATTGTTCCTGTCCTATAGTTTGTTATATTTCCTTACAGTCGGGAGTGGATGAAGCTTTTATGCAATTAAAATAACAGATTCATTTTTGTATTTACAATAGCTTATACAAATCTTTTACCAGAAAAGTGTCTTTCACTTTAGAGTAGACTATAGGCCTACATTTATGCTAAATAAGGTATGGATTAATGTTTGTTTTTTTAAAACATGCCCATGCTACCAACAACTCTCCGTTAAAATAAAAAACCGGAAGCAGGATTTGTTTCTATCATGATGAGTAGGCTAACATCGATGATAGGCGTCGGCTACCATAACCTGACTGATTTCATAAACGATGATTCTATAATCAGCTATCCATGGTTTATACGTATATTGTTTCAGCCATGCACTTCGACAAATCCCATCTTCTTTTACCGTGTAAAAGGGTAATAAACATAAAACTAAATGCTTTCCTTTCCCATACTCCATTGTATGTATCCCTTTCAGGGCCTGATTTTCTGTATGGGCTAAATTGAGGAAAATAGAGCCTACCAATACTTCGCTCTGTGGGGGGGGGGGGGGTAGTATGCATAATTCATTTATTGTATTTGACCCCAGTGGGGGGGGGAAGTATGCATAATTCATTTTTTGTGTTTGACCCCAGGGGGGCGGGGGGGGGGGCCCGTCGGGTCCCCCCGTGGATCCGCGTCTGTGTAGGCCTATAGTATACTTTAAATCGCAAAGCACTTTTCTTACAAAGGCTTTGACAAGATTTGCTATTTTAAATGCATAAACAGCTTGATACACTCCCGGCTGTGAGAAAATGTTTACAAATTCAACTACAGGAACGATAAATAACATCTTTGGAAAAATCCGAAAATTCCGAATTTACCGTCCCTAACAAAAATTAAAAAAACTAGTTAAGAAAACAAACAGAACAAATTTAACAAACAAAGAAATAAAACAAGAACATTTGCTTTTTATTTGATTAGCGTATCATAACCAGTTAGTTCAAAGTAATCTGTATTAACAAAAGAAGAAATAAGCAGACCTGCTATTTATATCTGTCCTATGCAGACAATTTGATGTGGCTTTGTAAATACGGGGAGCATTCCCTTAGATTCCGTTTTGTTTAGTATTTGTTTGTTTGTTTATTTAAATACGGTGATTAAAACCATGCTTTCAGCTTGGCATATTTGTTTTTCAGCATGTCCGTAAATGGTACATTAAAATATATATGAATAAACAGATGAAATACAAAATTAAACAATAAAAATACATAACAGTAAAACAGGATAATGTTGTTGCTAGCTCATGCCAGCATAGACATTCACTTTACTCTACTGACCTGAACATTTGACTCCAGCATCCTCCGCATGGCTGCAGTTATTCTCAAACAATCCTGGATGCTGGCATTCCCCAAGGTTGTCTTCTGTCCCCAGGCAAGTCACGTTGTCAAGGATAATAGGTCCCTCTCCTGCTCCATACCCTTGTGTTAACTGCGCCTCACCCAGACCCAGCATCCTACAAATTACGTGACCGTCGCTGATGTCCCAGAGGTCATCGCACACCGTTCCCCAGGAGCCGTTGTAGTAGACCTCCACCCGACCCTCTCGATCCGTTGCGCCATCAACGAGACGCACCTGGAGGTAAACTACAGGCCTTATCTGGGGAGGGATTGTCGTGGGTGGAGCATCAGTAGCGCTGGAATCTAAGGGTGGGTGATTTGAGAAAGTTTATGGTATAGATTAGTGTTTTGCCAAAGGAGATTAGTGCCGCGGCAGGAATCGAACCGAAAACCATGTGATCCACATTCTGGTGATGTAACCTCAAGACCACAGTACCTCTGCTAAAAATAGACTCAAATCTTGTGTAAACAAAGCCTTTAATTCTTTTATTTCGATTCCATCATTATAAATTGATTGATACATGAATAATTATTTAACAAAACTATACAAACAATATTGACGTGATTCGGAAATGAATTTTAAAAAGTGACAGAACTTGCATACGCAAATTAACCTATACCACTGCACTCATAAGGAATGTAAAAGGCTTAAAAATAACCCATAAAATAGCTGATAGGGAGGAAAGTGATATGTCACCGGGCTGAAGATAAGCTGGTTCGCGGTTATAGTTCCACTTCGGCACCGATCTCATTTGGCTAGACATTAATCAACATTTGCCAATCTCCATCCAGGTTATTACTATTATTGTTATCATTATTATAATCTTTTTCTTAATCATCATCACCATCGCATATCTCTTTCCTTTTTTAAATAGAGATTACTTTGTACTAACTGCTTATACACAGCTATGCAAATAATGTTTTTTTTTTTGTTCTTTTTGTTGGTTGTTTGTTAATTTTGTTCTTTTTGGTTTTCTTAACTAGCTTTTCTAATTACTGTTTCTGATTTTAGGTAGTGTATCAAACGTTTCTGCCTTTAAAAAATCAGATTTATTTACCATAGCTTGTCAAAAGCCTTTGCAAAGAGAAACAAGTGTCTTGCATTTAAAGTTATGCTATGGGCCTACAGTTACGCTAAATAAGGTATGGATTAATGTTTGTTTATGAAAAGTCCCCATGCTACCAACACATCTCCGTCAAAAAAAAAACACCAGGAAGCAGGATTTGTTCTATCATTATAAGTAGACTAACATCAATGATAGGCGTCGGCTACCATAACCTGACTGATTTCATAAACGATGATTCTATAAACAGCTATCCATGGTTTATACGTATATTGTTTCAGCCAGTTCGAGGAATCCCATCTTCTTTTACTGTGTAAAAGGGAACTAAACATAAAACAAAATGCTTTCGTTTCCCATAGGCCATTGTATGTATCCCTTTCAGGGCCTGATTTTCTGTCAACAAAAAATATTTGTTTTCTTATTTGCTTAGCTTATCATAACCAGTGAGTACATAGTAATCTGTATTAAAAAAGGAAAGAAATAAGGAGACTGGCAATTTCTATATAATATTTGGGAAATTCAGTTTTAGGTAAAATTTGCACAACAGTTTAATATGGAGTTCCTATACTGTATAAAGGGATTGGGTATCTTTGTCTCAAATTCTAAACAAAATCCTGGATTTAGCTCATGCTGCATTCATAATTATAATCAAACCTTTAGGTCACTCAGGAATGGGATTCCTGAGTGACCTAAAGGTTTAATTATAATTATATATATATCTGTACAGCGCTTTGAGAGGGCTTTCGGTCTTGAAAAGCGCTATATAAGAACTAGCTATTATTATTATTATAACTATATAGCGGATATGAGACTTCTTTAAATTCCGTCTACGAAACACTGTCGATCAAAGGATAGCTTTTTTTCAACTTGATTAATTAAAAGGCTAGGCCTATACCAATCACAGATTCCTTTCCTTCTCTCTCTCTCTCTCTCTCATTTCCCTCATCATCTCCCTCATATTCATCATCATCATCATCTCCTTTTCTCTATTTCTACCTCTCTCTCACTCTCGCCCCCTCTCTCTCTCCCTGTCTCGTCTCTCATCGTATCTCTCTCTCACCCCCTCTCTCATCGTCATCATCTCTCTTTTTCTCTCTACCTCTCTCTCACTCTTGCCCCCTCTTTCTCTCCCTGTCTCATCTCTCATCGTATCTCTCTCTCTCTCTCTCACCCCCTCTCTCATCGTCACCATCTCTCTCTTTCTCTCTATCTTTCTCTCACCCTCTCTCATCATCGTCATCTCTCACTCCCGCTCTTCCCCTTTCTCTCACCCCCTCTCTCATCGTCATCATCTCTCTTTTTCTCTCTCTCTTCGTCCCTCATCATCATCATCATCTCATTTTCTCTCTCACACACTTCCTCCCTCTCTCTCTCGCTCTCTCGCTCATCTCTCTCCTCATCTCTTCCTCTCTCATCATCTTCATCTCTATTTCTCTCTCTTACTCTCTCTCCTCCCCCTCTCTCTCTCTCTGTCTCTTTCTCACCTCTTTCCCTCTGATCGCACTCTCTTAGTTTCTCTGTAGTCTCAATCTCCGCAATCAGAATATGAAATTGAGGGGGTGTGGGCGGGGAAAGGTGTAGTCCAGATCCAGTCCGTTCTTTGTTTTTATTCTTCTATCACACGCATTGATCACACACACAGCGCGGTCTCTCCACTGATCGCGCAATCCCCAAATTTCCGTAATCGAGTTCCAGATTGAGAGGAATGGCTAGGTCTACTTTTAACGTTGAGGGTGTGTAATTTTATCAGCTCATTGGGTGAGCTACACGAAAACGGTACAGAGGCTAGACTAGGAAAGGTGGGGCTGGCGGGGTTCGGGCATTTTATGCAAGCTTCAATATCGCTATTGGAAATCACTGTTAGTTGAAGAACACACGAAGTATTTTGCACTGTTATTCGTCTATTTAGCGTCTAGCAAACCAAGCAATATGTAATTTCCCTCAAGTTCTTACTAGTACCATGCATGGGAGGAATTTGTTACATAACGAGAAAACTGAGGAAATAACGGACTGTTTCAAACTTTTTTGTTGAGCCATGTGGTCAGGATCTTATCTTTAGCCCCACTAACTAAATATTTTGTACTCTTGTGTAATGTGTGCAAAACAGCATACGGATCTGTGACTCTACTCTGGACTGTGTATGCAGTTATTATAAAATTAAAGTTGGTTCTTTTTTGCAAGTCTTCGACAAGGTTTCTACACATATATATTTTCAGAGACATTCCATTAGATAAATTCCAACAAAGTAGTAATAAAAGAAAACAAATATAATTGTGGCCGATTTGAAGAACAACATGTGATCAATTTAGCCCTTCAAGAAAATTATGACCTGAAAGGGATACATACATTGGCCTATATATATTAAGAAAGGAAAGCATATAGTTTCATGTTTAGTACCCTTTTACACGGTAAAAAAGATGGGATTCTTCGAACTGGCTGAAACAATATACGTATTAATCGTGGACAGCTGTTTATAGAATCATCGTTTATGAAATAAGTCAGGCTATGATAGCCGACGCCTATCATCGATGTTAACCTACTTATAATGATATAAAGAATCCTATTTCCTGCTAGTATGTTTTTCACGGAGATGTGCTTGCCTGGTAGCATGAGGCTTTTTCAGAAACATACATTAACCCATACTTTATTTAGCATAACTGTAGGCCACTAGGCCTATAGGATACTTTAAATCGCAAGACACTCATTCTTGGACAAAGGCGTTTGACAAGCTTTTGTAAATAAATCTGCTATTTTAAATGCATAAACAGCTTGAGCGCTCCCGGCTGTGAGAAATTTTTTACAAATTTAACTACAGGAACGATTAATAACATCTTTGAAAAATCTGAAAAATTCCGAATATACCGTCCCTAACAGCAATACAAAAAAAAGTAGTTAAGAAAAACAAACATAACGACAAGTAGCGCCAAGCGGCGGCAAGTTCAAACCAATTTGGCGACCTTTGGCACAAACTAATCACCTAGTGGCGCAAAGTAGCCGTCTATTGGCTCGAATGGCGCCAACAGGGTGAATTTTGGAATCGAATGGCCGTGTAATGGCGCGAACTGGCGCAAACTGGCGCAACATTTTGGAGCAAGCCGGGTGGCATTTGGCGCACGCCATATGGCACCCAGTTTATTCCACTTGGCGACACATGCCGAGCGGACATTAATTCGGCGCCACAGCGAGCCACTACGCGCCAATCACATAATCTTTGGCGCGAACCGGCACCAACTGGCGCTGGCCCAGTGGACTTCTACCTTTAACAAACAAACAAATAACAACTGAAGATGTGCTTTTTATTGCAAAGCGTATCATAACCAGCTAGTACAAAGTAATCTGTATTGAAAAAAGGAAATAAATAAGCAGACTGGCAATTTCTATCTGTCATATGCAGATAATTAGGTGGTCTGTCGATGACAGATCACCTATTGATTTCGTTAGAATTTTCTTTCTTTATTTATTTATTTATTTATTCTTTATTAGGTGGTCTGTCAACGACAGATCACCTATTGATTTCGTTAGAATTTTCTTTCTTTATTCTTTCTTTATTCTTTATTAGGTGGTCTGTCAACGACAGATCACCTATTGATTTCGCTAGAATTTTCTTTCTTTCTTTATTCTTTATTTTTATTTCTTCCGTACACTTTTTTGTCCACACGTTTACTCGAAATCGACATGGTCAATTTTCTTTGAATTTCTGTCAGTCATCAAGCCCTATGATTTCAAGTCTAATTAACTTTTTCAAGTTCATGGGGTCATCGTGACGTCATCCAGGCGCCATTTTGTAAAAATCAGGTCATTATCATATCTCGATAACGAGTCATCAAAAATAAACCATATTTGGTATACATCAATTTCAGGTCAAAGGTCAACTAAAAATGTTAACAAATTCCGCGCGCGCACCTCGACGCGCACGTACGCGCGCATCAAAGTTTTATAATGGTCAAATTCGTTCTTAATTAATTTTGCATACGTTTCAGGCCATTTTAAGCATTTTCAAAATTTGCGCGCGCGTAATTATGCGCGCGCGTTTCCGCGCGTATCCGCGCGTCTTGGCATTTTGCAACATAGAATCGCCAATTTTTTTCTGTTATCACATTTATTACATTTTACCAAGCATTTTGATACCTTGTTTACCTTTTTCCGACCAGTAATACTGCAATTAGCGGCTGTCAAAGTTGAACGCACGCGCCAACCTGCGCTATCTGTATCCACAATACATGGGCAAAAACATGCCTATACAAAATTCATTTTAACTCCTCAGAATTGATAGATAACCCCCAATTTCTTTCATATTTAAATAGATTATGAGTTGGAGGTAT